ATAGAATTCTATTGCGAAGTACACATATTTTCATATTGATAGATAGCCGATGAGATGCTGATTCTGAATAATTGCTATGAAATTGTCTAGCATATGTGACCAAAGTATTAATCAAGATATTATGAGCATGTGCCCCATTCTTTGATATCTATTATGCAGCTATTGTTGCCAGGTTTTCTTCTTGAAGAAATGAATATCAAAATAGACATTTATACACCATTCGATAGAGAATTTCAAGAGCTACATTTTGCACTATTTTGTTTCGGAAAACAAGATATTTCAGTTCTCGTCCAAATTTCCGCTTGGATGCCCACTGTGCGTTCGTAGTCTTAACAGATCTTCCTCCTCTTTTGTATGTTGGTATTTATTCTGCAGGTAGTGTTTATGCTTTAACAAAATTCTGAGAGATGTTGAAATCGTTGGTCTCTTCCTTTTAGATTTGTACCAAATTGTCGTTCTTTGCTTGAGGGCCAAGAGAAGCGTTTGTAAGTTTTCGAACCACTTGAAAGACTCGTCCGCTGTGATTACCTTTTCCCTTTCTTCTTCTACGATGGGATGAATAACTGTTAGAACTGCCTGATAAATACTCCAATACGTTTTTGGTAAGAACGACGAATCTTCGCGGCCGCTACATTCTGAGAAGACCGCCAGCACCGGGAAATGGTCACTCCCGTCTAGGGCAGCGTACGGCAATCCACTGTAGTGGGAGCCTCCGACGAAATTATCAAATCGATCGTAGTGTCTGATCGTCGCGAGGTTATCAAACCGGGATTATGAATTTCCAAAATATTGTTGTTTGTGAGCCAATCCGCTAACATTCGCCCTTTTCTGTTCGTGGTCGGACATTGCCAATCAACATGCTTGGCATTAAAATCTTCACAGATAATAACATCTTTTGAAAAGCTCATCAATGAAGACATAATGGCTGTAGAGAGTGGCTCTTCGGGTGGAGAATAGATAGACGCCACGACATACGTTTTTGTATTGAAAATTACTAATACCGCTACCACATTAGGAACATCGATATTTAAAGGTACAGATTTTAGTTTTTTGTCAATCGCTAAAACGACGCCTCCATAAGTATTTGTACCGTCTTTCCTGTAAATGTTGTATGGAAATAAAAGACTTTGTACTGTTTTCTGAGGTATCACTGTTCCCAGTTCATTAAGAGAGATTATAGAAGGGTAGAGATCGCTAGCTAGACTTAACAGATCTGTCTGATTAGCGTAAAAAGAACGAATGTTATAATGTAGTACAGAAAAATTTGACAAAACTACTTGCGGTTCTTTATAGTTATCTAGCCATTCTTTCGCGACGTCTTCTAATGGTCTTGTCCAGCACAGGTCCACAATAACTCTCAGGCCTAATTCTTTTTGAAATTTTGAACGAGCGTTTAATACTGGTAAAATTTGTTTTTCCAGATCATAATATTTATAAACATTGAATTGTAAATTAGACCTGTTCATTGTCGTTTTGCGGTAAAAAATTNATCTGGTGGCACGTTTTTTAGATCTCTCTCTATTGTCTACCGCTTTTTGTATAAAATTTATATATTTTGTTAATTCTTGTTTAGTTGGCAAAGTCGGCAGAATATGAAGTCGGTTTACACTGAGCACTCTTTGTTGCATACATAAAAGATGAACATTTAATGAAAATATAGAATTCGTTCTTCTCTTGTTTTTTTCTTTAAACAGAAAACAGAAAATCTAACGTATTCATTTTCTGCTATGTTTTCATGCAAAGTTGAGCCTCTTTATTTTGCCTTTATTTCTTCAAAGGTAATTAACCGCTCTCTTTGAAAGTATTATTCATCTACCAACTACACATATAAATCAAAAGTATTCGTAATATACTGCCAGACTGTTTGAACCTTCATATATAAGAAAATTTTTTCCTCGTTTCAAATATAATTGCGTCATTATTTTTTCCTGAATAGCCTTGAATAACGAAAACTGTCGATAT